AAATTAGTCATCCTAGCAGTTGTGTACACATACGCACATACAATAACCACTATATGTAGCAACAGAGAAAAGACGGCAAGCAATGACCTTGCATTAGGGAAAAACCAGAACGAAAATAGAAGACAACAAATAGTGCGTTTTGCATCATAATTACGGACAAGGGGAAAGAGCCAAAGAAAAGTACTGAGATGCATGATCAGCGGAAACAAAAGTAAATGATACTGACACGATAAGAAAGAAATGGATGACTCTTTCAAAATTTAACGAAAATAAAAGAAAGAAAAAAGGTTCAAGATCTTATCGATGCATGTATATACGTATAAACCAAGATTCTTTTAGAAAACTGTAAAATTTTTTCTAGGAGAGAAAATATTTTCAAAAAATATTTCCCCAGATCTAATAAATTTTCAAAAATTTCTCCGTACGGCCGTGCGCGCACGCGGGTAGATTCTGCACCCCTAGAAAATTATGTGAATATGTATGAGATGGATGGATTGGGTGGGTGGGCGTGAGTGTGGGGTGTAGGATGTGGGTGTGGGGTGTGGGATATGGGTGTGAGTGTGGAATGTGAGCGTGGGTGTAGGGGAAGGTCAGTTCATTATCGTTCCCTTACGGAAACACATCTACATTCACACCCACACCCATCCACACTCCACATCCACATCCCACCTACACCCACATCCACCCACACCCACACACCCATACCCAAAAATGAAACTGGAATAAACTTGAAGATTTATTGATGCTTGCATTTCTAAAACACTGTTTTCAAAGCAATTCGTTCTATTCCGGATTTAAACGGTTTAGAAACTTTATAAAAAAGACTAATCAATTTGAATCATCAAAATAAGGTAGAATTCAAATTATGAGTTTCGATAATATCTACTGCAAGAAGAATGACACCCTAAGATCACATTTATTCAATGAAGTGTTTTTATGAAACAAGTGCTTTTTGACGGAAAAAAAAGAGGCTGAATTAAATGTATATGAATTCTAAAGAAGCAGAGAACACATGCGTAAGTCTCAAAATTTTCTAAGAAAATAAATAAACAATATTGAATTATATATAGTTATTAAAATGATGACAGTTTCAGTTTTATTTTAATCCTCATTTTTTCAATAGTTATGTTTTTGTTTTTGTTTTTAATATTGTGAAAACTAAGTCTTCTTCAAAAAGATGAGCAGAAAACAGGAAAATCTCAAAAGTTTATGGAAAGTACGCAAAATTTCCGTAAAGTCACGAAATGAAAGACTTCTGATTACCGCAGTGTAATTAAAATATTGTTACAGCATGAATTTTATGTCTAATAAATAATGCTAAACCAAATTAATTCAAATCAAAACTAGCAGCTAGGAACTAATTATATAGCTGTTAGTTCTACATTATATGAAGCAAACCAATTCAATGATTGATAAATACATTAAGAAAAGGCGGAAATGTTTTTTCTTCTTTTTGTTTCTAATTTTTATACTGGTAAAATGTTTTTCATTGTTGCTTATTCTTTTGCTGAACTTTTTTAAAGGCCACTTCTGATTACGTTTAGTTTTTCTCACATATCTAAATGTAATCTTATCAACGGACAGTATTAAATAGCATCACTTCAATTTTTTGCAATTGAATTATTCTAACAATTTGCTTTCATCTAAGAGATCGTTTGAATAAAAAAAAGAATACAGACTCTTGTACACAGATTTTTTACTTTGACAAACAAGCAAGTGAGCATATATCTGAGAAAAAAAAGATATATCAAGTCTTTTCAATTGTTTGATGATATCAGTATGATATTTACAATATTTTTAAAGATTATTACAAGTTTTATCTCATAGATCTTCAACACTTCTGCCTTTCTTATTTGAGTTTATCGAAAGCTTTATTTAAAATTCATTCATAATCCTACAGAGATAAGTATTTTTGAAAGCGACGGGTACAAAATTACATCAATGTTTTTCTTTCGAAAACTCATAACAAGCACTAGTGGAAAGAGAATATAAGAAAAACAATAAATGATCACAACAAATGACGATACATTAGAAATATTCACAGTTTCTCTTTACTTTATGTTAGTAAAATATTGTTATTTGAAAGCAAGTTTATCAGTAAGTTAAAGATTTCAAAATTGTGTCAATATATCGAGAACAAGATTAGATCCTACTCAAACATTTGATGACCAACAGTATGCACCATTCAAATATTGAAAATTCAAAGCTTTCTTGAATTACTGAACGATGAATATATCTTATTTAGTTGTCATGGAATGATTTTATTATTGATGGTACCATATGTAAAGAGAGTATTGTCCACCAATATATTCACCTATTATTCTAAATAGATAAAAATATTAGAGAAAAATCATTAGATAGTACCTAAAAATATGCATCAATGAAAACTAAAACACATTATTTGTCTTCAATTATCAAATGTACATATCTGATCACACATGCAAAAGATCAAAGCTTCTCTTTCTATCATCGATCTTAATGATGAGTACGCGTGTCACCACGCCTTAGGCACAAATAGAATGTAAGTTTTTTATGACATGTACTGACTGAATACTACTCATCCAACACTATTATTGTCGACACGCTTTTTATTATAAACGTCTGAGTAATGTATTAAAATATCTGAATAGATATGATTTGTTTTTTTTTGAAGTTTGTTGTCGATAATATACATTAAAAAATTACCAATCGATCACGTAATGAATCAATGAATAGAAAAATTGATGATAGGCGGTCACTATCGGATTTTATTTGAGTTCAATCCATAAGTTATGTTCTGATCAAAATGAAACAAACAACACATATCATTATAATATTTGTCAGAGAGTGTATAAAAGATCTAACATAATTAAATAGAAAACATAATAAGAATGCAACAAGGGAACAATCAAGAAACAAAAAGAAGAAGAAAAAAAAAATGTTTTTTTGTATCTACAAAGAAATATCTAAAATATAATCCTAGATATCTCAAAAGGAAAAATTTCAATCCAATCGAATAAAGTTTATAACATATATGAAACAACGACATAAACCATCTGTCCGATGAAAAAAAAAAAAGAAATTATAGTCTAGTTTTATTCGAATGACTTTTCTTGATTAACTCACACCTCGTATGCTCGTATTTTCATGCTTGATGATCATCACATCGATGTGATGTAATTTGAATAATAAGATGGAACAATACAAAAATTTCTATTGATATTTTTAATCATGAGATATGAATCACACCTCTTTCTATATATACCTAGACACGCTTGATATCATATCTCATCAGAATTTATTGCTCAAAGGAAAATACAAAAAACATATATCATTGAAGACTAATATTTTGAATAAAATACTTCTTTTTCTAAATACATTTCATTAAGTATTAAAATAATTTACATTTATTGTTTCAATAATCTATCTTTATTATAATTATCGAACAATGAATTTTCTTTTTTTTTTTTATTATGGTCACTATGAAAACAAAAATAAAGAAACAATATACAATGGAATGTTTATTTTTTGTGTTATTTTTTAGAATAAATTATATTTCAATACAAATAAAAACAAAAATTTAATAATGTGTAGGATAATAGTAAAATGAATTATCAGTAAACATAAATTGTTGTTCATGAGAATAAAAATTTGTTGAATGTTCTGGTAATATTATTGAACTAATATCTTCTATACTACTATCACCACAATAAGATGATGAACCATAATCAAAACTATTTGAATGTTTAGTTTTTGTATCATCTTCACTTTCACTTATTATTATATTTGTTTTTGTTAATTTTTTTAAATTAATAAATTCTAATGGATTTTTTACTCGTGGATGTATTGATGATAACATATATGTATCATCTAATGTCATCATCATATTTGATGAATTATTATTGTTAGTATTTTGTTGTAATATTCTTGGATTTAATGAAAGTGTTGCAGCAACAAGATTCATTGTATTTGATGATAAACCTTGACAAAGTAATTCAGCAAAATGTACATTATCTGGTATTTGATTAGTTGATATCATTTGTGTTAATGCTTCAATATAATTTTTTGCTAAACGTAATGTTTCAATTTTTGATAGTTTTTGTGATAATGAAAAACATGGTATAGTTTGACGAAGACATTCTAATTGTTCATTAAGATCTTTCATACGTTCACGTTCACGACCATTTGCTTTTATACGTCGAACTTTAAAACGTGCTATACGTGATGGTGTCATTTGTTTTTTTTTAGGACCACGTTTTTTAGGTATTTTGGTTTGTTCACATGTTAATATCAAAGATTTTTGTATTGTTGATAATTGATTAGTTGTATTTTCTTTAATATATTCAACATTTTCATGATATTGAATTTCAAGTTCAAGTTGTTTTAATTGTCGTTGTTCTTCGTCTTGAGGAATTTTTGTTGGCATTAACTATTTGAGTATGTATGTATACAATCAGAGAGTAACAGCGGAAATGTTCTCTTTTTCATTCTCGAATCAATATTTATATATGGACATTCATTTCTTTTTCTTTTTCTTTCTCTCTCGTTGAATCACCAATGAAAATTGACTAGGAGAGAAAATTATCGATTGGTTCAATTGGCACGTGTGAGATATGAGCTAATGATTAGACTAATTTTTTACACTTTTAAGGAGACAAGAAAAAAAAAATGAGTATATAATTATTGTGAAAAACGAAAGATACAGTAGTGAAGCATGACCATAAATCTTTTTCTAATACTTTTTATGCTGTACAAGTGAGAATAATCTTTTCTAACTTTCATACAGGAATGGAAAGACTACCATAGCAAAAAAAATAATTTTCGGAAGGAAACTAAGTTCGCTAGTGTCATTTATCAGGATTGTCTCGAGATCATCCGTAATTGTTATTTTACTAACCTGATTTCTATATTTAAGTTTACTGTATATTAGTTATTTTGATATGTTATTCTAAAGATGAATCGTTTGAAGCTAGTCTATGTGTCTATTTTGTGATGAGTCAACCATCAAATAAC